GATCCACGTTTTGAATCGTATGTGATAAACTTTGTTTAACATATGATCCAATATGTGAATTTTTGTACATATCACATATGATAATATACGTCTGAATATAAGTGACATATTATCACATGTGATAATATTTATATAACCAAAAGATCTATAATATAAATATACATAATCACATATGATTAACAAAAATATCTACGATTATCATATATGATTAACAAAAATATTTATGATTATCATATATGAATTGATCGTAGGTATAACATGTGATATTTGATGAAAATTGTGAAATTATGTTATCAAATATGTATTTAGTTTTTTTTATAAAAAAATGATAAAAAAAAGTTATTAGTTATTTAAAATTAAAAAATAAATAAATCTAAAAGATATAATGAAATCTTTAAGGATTATCCGATTCAAAATGATCATCATCCTAATTTCTAATTTTTTTTATTTCTTTATGGAATTTTTTTTAATTAATGGATTGTGTGGCCTATATTCCTTCTCTCCTTCTCATAAATTGATCGTCTTCTCGTTTGAACTTGTCTATATATATATATATATATATATATATATATATATATATATGACAATAATCATTATGAGAACCACAAAAAAGTTGATAATCTTGAGAACTAATCTCAACCATCTAATCTGTCTAATCTAACAACATTAATTAATGTTATATTTGTCTATAAGGAAATACATGATCGTAGTTTTCTTTTTCTTGATTATTTTTCACTTAGATATCAAAATTTAGAATCAATTTTTTTTTATTAATTCAATCTTATGCGATGTAATTTATATGTAATAATAATATTTTTAATTTTCATTAATTGATAATACTCTCTTATATTTCATTAGTTTATTGTACTATTATTTTAAATTTTCAATCGTTTACTTCTCACATATACATTATTTAATGGTAACTTATAAAAAAAATACATTTTTATAAAATATAATTGACTATTTTAAATAATAAAAACATCACATGAGAAAACAAAATATAGTAATATAAAGAAAATGTAATTAAAACACCATGTGGAAACACCAAAGTTTATTTCACGCAATGAAATAATACAATATTACTAAGATGAAACAAATTTAGTGTTATTTGACAATGTGAAAGTAAAACAAAGTTGATATGAAAAATTATGTGAAAATAAAACATTAAAACAATAAATTGTGGTTTCACAAGGTGAAACAATGTACTGCTGTTTCAAAATTTGAAAACAAAACAAAACAAAAGTTGACGTGAAATGTGATGTAAAATACTAAAGTAATTGTTTCATATTCTGAAAGAACATAATGTTGCTAATGTGAAACAATGTGGTGCTGTTTCACACGGTCAAACAATGTAGTGGTGTTTCACAATGTGAAAAAATACAAAAAATGACGTGAAATGTGATGTGGAATACTAAAGTGTTGTTTCACAAGGTGAAAAACGTACGAGTTAAATCACCTTTATTGTTTCATGTAAAAATTGCAATTACTAAAAAAATGTAAAAAATACATAATGATATTCGTATCAAATTAAAGAAAATAAAATGTTCATTTTTATATAATTTTTTTGATTTAAAGTTTTTTGTAATTAATATATTTTTTATTTAAAGTTTTAATGTAATTAATATAATTTTAATTTAAAAAGGAAATGGTGTTTAATATAATATAAATTATGTCATTTCAATATGAGATAAAAATGGAAGATTTAATTTTATACCCTTCTAAGAGTAATGTTTGTATGTGAATCATCCTCTATATGTAAAATGTTACCTCTCAACTCTCACCATTGATTAATCTTGATTGTGGTTTGAGATTGGTTCTTATAGTTCTCAACCGTTTTGTGATTCTCGTTTGATTTGTCATATATATAAACTTGATCGTATTCGGTGGTTATTGTCATGACTTAAACTTATATGTAGAAAAAAGTGACGATACAAAAACTAAACTTACACATCATAAACTGAATATGAAGTTTGTATATTATTAAATAAGTTATCAATAAAATTCTATCAATATATAAAAATGATATCACCTCCCAAAATACGACTTTGCGTACAGTTTCTGTAAAGGCCTACACTTTTAATAGCAGACAAAACCTATCAATAAAATCATTTGAAAAAATTACAAGCAAAATGAGATGGGATGTTCTCCTTACAGAGACCATGTTAGAGGCCGTTTACTAAACGCTTACTCGGGCAAGCACTTAAGAGACAAGGATTCTCACTTACTGGGTAAGACTCGGTCCTTGCCTTCGCTTTTACTAGGTAAGATTCTTGATTCTTGCCATATGCTTTCCGATAAGGTAATGTGACTTGGTAAGTACTTATCCGGATAAGTATTTGATAAACGACGCCTTAATATTCCCGAAATCTTTCCACTTCTATTGGATGTCAAAAAGTAGATATTTAACTAAGGTTTTGAGTTCTTTACTTTCTATCAACACTCCTCTGTAATAAAATTGTTTAAAGCATGATGACTTATTCAATTGTCATTTAAAAATTAAGCCAAAAAAACAAATAATGTATAATGGTGAAACAAACATATTTTAGAATTCATTAAATTGATTTAAGTAAACATTACCATTCCTTAAGGGCCATTTATCAAACGTTTATCTGGGTAAGCTCTTACCAAGTCACACTACCTCACCGGATGAATATGGTAAGAACCAAAAATCTTACCCGGTAAGAACGAGACAAAGACTAAGAGTCTTACACAGTAAGTGAGGGACACGACTCTTACCATGGTAAACGCTTACCAGGTAAATTGTTGCATACAATATCGTTTTGTTGGACTAAAATCTTATCCAGTAAGTAAATAATAATGTTAATTACACGTAAACACTTACCAGGTAAGTGTTTGATAAACGGGCCTTTTAATTTTTTATTTATAAATTGAAAATTGAGGTTCAAAACGGCTTGTGAAATGTGGACTTTATTTAAATTCTTAATTAAGGCCCATCAATAGCTCTTGTTGGGCTTATAAGAAGGCCCAATATAGAATAATGTGGTCCTAATTTATATAGATGTTGGACCCGAACCGTTTACCTTATGTAACATCTCAGGCCAATCGTATCAGATATTATCCTCTCTTTACACTTAATTAGACTTACGGTTTTAAAATGCATCTGGTAGATGAGGTATCCAGTTTTTTACAAGACAACGTTAGTTCCCTCCCACGTCGTTGGGGAGTGGAACGAATGTTGCCTTATAGGACTTGATACCTCCTATACTAGACGTGTTTTAAATCCGTGAATTCAAATATGGACAAAATAGACAATATCTGGTACAATTGGCTTGAGATCTTGCTTAACCGTAGTCATGGCTGTCATCTAGAGGGGAGACCAAAAATATTTTTAAATGGGCACAAAAATGATTAACTTAATATAAAATAAATACTAATTTTAAAAACTATAATTGTATAAAAAATGATCATAAAAGGGTTTTTTTTATAACAATGAAATGTTTATTTTCCTTCATTTATGTTGTTATTACTAAAAAAAGAAAAAAAAAATACATAAAAGAGTTTAAGTCGTAAACTGTAATACCATATGTAATGACATTATTATAGGTAGATTGTAACCACTTTTTATTAATTTCAGAAAACACACATAAATTTAAAATGAGTGCACCTTTAAGACCCTCATTTTTTTCTATTGCAACGAAAGCATTACACGGGTGCTTGCAGACCCATGGATTGCATGTCGGTCCACCCTTGCCGTCATCAAACTTCGGAATCCCTTGTGCTACCTTCAACTCCAAAATCATGAAGAAGTTACAAGCCATGAAGATCAATTACAATAAGTCATTGTAATTAATTATTTGATGTATGAACAAAACATGAACAGATAAATTGTAGGAAATTTATAGAATCACTTGATACGATAAAGAACATGTATCATCAATATGTCGATTGTCTTTTGCCTGATTTCTCTGCGTTGAAAACAACCAACCTTAAGCGGTCAAGATGAATTATGTCATAATGATCAATCAACTTTACACTATATCTGGTACAGTTAATTATAAAACTAATTAATTGAAAGTATAACCGATAGTTATCGATGTGATTTGAATGAAATTTACCTTTGTGTTACTAAAGCTTATTTTTACACTCCCTTCGAATGAAAATTAAAACCGTACTTTCAACAAAATGTTTGTTATTAAATAGAATGCTATAGTTTTTATGATAAAATAAAATAATTAATATTATCACTATGTTTATACATTTTTTTCTAGCTATATTTTTTTTTTTATCATGGATGTACGGGTCAACTTGCATGCACCTTGACTAATCCAAGGGTCCTAAAGAACACTCCAGAACATGACCTTGCAGGATTCGAGTCGGTAACCTCTAAAAAGAACTCTCAAAAACCAAAACCTTATTACCAGCTATATTTATCAATTACATATTTCTGTTTTCTTCTTCATAATCTTGTTAATACATAATTTTATGTCATATTAATCAGTTTTTATGGAATATCCAAAACAACAACTTCAAGGATCTGTTTGTTAGCAATTCAATGAGCTTAATGAGACTAATAACTTATTTAGTCAGTTATATATAACTATTTGGTAGTGACTTAATGACATAAAAAATTGCTTATTTCACTAAACTTCTCAAATAGAGCTTTATGCAGAAAGTCAACTTTTTTCTAAACTCACTCCTCTCCCAATTAAAAAACACGCCCTTTCTATTTATTAAAAATCCTCCCAAATTAACAAAAAAACTTTACAATCGTTACAGACAGATTAATATACACAAATCTCTTTATTCATACAAGACTTGATTGAAAACTAACCATACAGTCTCATTAACAAGAGAAGATACATTATTTTTTATTTATTTTCCTTACATACATATCGTATTTGTGACTATCCTACAAAATGGTATAAAGCACATCAACATATTAATAATAAATTAATCTTAAAAATATATATAGTGCTAAGTAGTACATAATTTTATTCCTTAATCTAGAAAACCTGCAGCATTTCTGGCTTTTTATAATGCTCTTCATATATATATATATATATATATATGAGTATGTGTATTAATAATTTTTTTCTTAATTTATATTGTAAATTTAGTTATGTATCGGAGACTTCTTCCTAGCCGGAGTATAATCCATTCCCGTGATGTCTGTATCGTTTGGATAGGGCTCGTTGGCAACATCCTTTCCGTTTTTTGAATTCTCTGACGATAGATTAAAGAAGAAATTCTCTTCGTCGCTTACTGATCCACGAGTGGATTTGATCCTCGGTTTTGGGTCATTTTTATTTCCGTCATTCTTGTGATTCTGTACATGAACAAAATAAATTTATAATTAAAAGAAAAATATGTTTTATTCCATCAACTGTTAAATTTATTTTCCTATGTTTTTGGAAGAAAAAAACCAACCTTAGAAATGGTGGTGGTAGTGCCGGAAGATGCAATTTTTGTCATAAGTTTTCTATTTATTCCTGCATATAAATTTAAAAAAACAACTTTAATAAACACAAAATAATTAGTAAAAGACATTTATGTCATTAATATTGTACAAGTTTTCGACAATTTACGGGCACACGTAATTTATTAAATTGATGGTTACGGAAGCTACAAAATAATTCGGACTTTCTCCAACTAATCATATGTGAATCACTTGAATGAGTGCTAATGAGGTCAAATTTTGAATTTGGTACTAGGGTTTTAAATCATTTGATCAACCCTGACTTGTATTGTGTCAGTGTTTGATCTATTACAATAATTGTATCAAGTCATTCAAATAACATACTTACGTACGTTATTAGAATAGAAAAAAATTAAGAACTTGAGAGAAATGTGTTAGCGCCAACGATCTAAACACGAGGTCTATTTGTGATAAGTGATATCACACGTGTGTAAGCTTGTGTGATCGCTGTGACGAATGGTTTCTTGAAAAATGATCATCGACCGCACACACTGAGGGAAGTGAGTTCAGTGGTGCCTAGGTCGGTGATGTTTGGGGCCGTAGTAGTCTTCATGAATCTTTGGTAACCAGTGGTTGTGATGGGAGTTCTTGGTCACTACTCTATACGATAATCTTCTCTTCTTTATCGTGGTACCTGATGAAAGTTCAACGGTTTTTGCTAGTAATTCATGATCTTGATTGCTTCCGCCTATCGATGAAATCTGTAACAGATGAACAAAAGATCACGAGCTGTATATATAATCACATATTACCACCGAAAAGATGTCCATATACATTGGTGGCAAACAATCATGATTAAGATACCAACCTTGATGAGTTCTTGATGGTTGCTAATCGATAAACTGACCTTTCCCAACCTCATACCTTCATATGATCAACAAGAAGCATATTAATTTAAGTAAAACGATACTTCATGAGATGACCGAAATAACTAATTAAGGCGCTCCTGTGTATTTCAATCCCGAATGCCTTAAGATGAACTGAAAATGGATTTACGATTGCCAAACTAGCGTCCAAAGAACAGTTTACGATAGCGAACATACCTTGAGCTTCAAAGTTATGGAGGCTTAACAGAAGAAAGACTATAAACATCACATGAAACTTCATGCTTTCTGAAGCAAATTAAACAAAGCAGGCTGCAGAACGTAAATTCAAGGTGTTTGACAGATTTTGAACACCCAATGTGAGTAACAAATTGGTGGGTTTCTCACTCTCTAGAATCTTAAGTATGAAGGGGGATCCAGCAACTGAGAATGGTTTGTAAGATTGGCACGATCCAACTTATATATATAGAGAGAGAGATATCTAGACAAGGTCAGGACGACAGGACCCACGTCGGGTTTCCTATTTCTTTAATGGGTTACAAGTTTTGTGATCCCATTAATTGGATATCAAATGAGTTGGGGGGTCTGGAACTGTGGAATGAGGGGACAAAACTGTCCACGCAAAAAGGTAGGGTTTCCATTTTCTTGAACCCTATGATTCATCTCCTCTCGGTGAATACATATTAATAGTTGGAAGATATTGTGAAAAAGTTACTAGTATTAATTTGATGCAAGGGTAAAATATATCAAAGTTTAATGGAGTTTATTTTAACTTTTTAGTTAGTGTAATGATGTGATATATATCTATAGTACCTTATAAACCAGGTTTATCAAAAGTTTTAAAAACAATTTTTAATGTACAAAATACTATACATTGATGCATAAGGTCTTAAAAGTTTTAAAAACAACTCAAAATGTATTAAGTACTGCTACTTTATGCTTTCAGTCTTAAAATCTTTTAATCTACAATTAAAATAACAAATAGTACAAGTTACCGATGTACATTATTACATTTTTTCTTTTCATGTTACCAATATACTTTTGACACATTTCACTCATGTCTTAAGTCTCTCGTACCTCTATGTCTTCTCCCCATCCCACAAGATGAGATTCAAACTGATGTTCACCATTAATTATTAAAAGTTCTCTCATTCATCTCTCATTCAATTGCTCTAGAACTCTCGGTTTTGCTCTCGATCTCTTGATTCTTTGCTCTTGTTGTAAATCGAACACATTTTGGAGTCGTTTAAATATGTTGGATTTTAAATATATTGAATTTTAAACTGTCATACAACTTTTTTCATCGATATACAGTCATTGGAACCATAACTCTTACTTATTCAAATTGTATTAATATGTAAAGACCAAGTATAAATTATATCATCGTTAAATCTTCTCTAATAAAACCAGTAAAACTTCAAAATCGTTAAAATTCACGACTCCCGCCACATTACACGGATATTTTAAAGATATTTTCATTATAAAGATATTTTCATAAGTGTAATAAAATTTTAAAGATATTTTCATTTTGATACTAATTTACTTTGTAATTAAATAAAATATTATGTGACATTCACTTTTTGTTGAATTGACAACTGTTTGTTTGTTTGTTTGTTCCTATTTAAAATTATGGAGTTTGCTGTAGTCCCAATTAGTGTAACGATTTGTTAAGTTACAATATTAAAAATCTCCATTACATTAAACAGAAACCCAAACAAATTTCTTCGAATTTTGATTTATTTTATTTTCTATATCATCTTAACGTCACCTAAAAAATTAAATTTAGTTTCTAAATTAATTAGCAGCATTGAGCTCATTTAAGCGGTTATCAATTAAAATATGTTCTACTAAATAAGAAGATTTGAAAGTTTGTTACAATAACTGATAAGTTTTTTTAACTTTACAGTATTAAATATGAATTAAGACAATTTTTGTTATATTTTAATGTGTTTTGCTTGATATAACAAATACTATTGTGTTTTTTTTAAAAGCAATGATCATTGTCACAGACAAAAAAAAACATGGAATTTTTTGTTTATTTAGAAAGAAAGATATTGGAAAAGAGAGTTGTATTCAACTTTCTGGAGGCCATCTACATGACTTCATTACTTTTTTAAGGTATGATGTCCCCTTAATGAGCTTTCTCAATCTCCATATCATATTAGTTTAATAATCACGTATTATGTATATAACACATACATATATATATATATATATATATATATATATATGCGCACACGTGTGTGTATATGTGTGTGTATATATATATATATATATATATATATATATATATGCCAACTAGTTCTTGTCAACAATGGTCGCCATTTCTTCACATTTTGTTCACTAAAAGAACATTTTGATTATGATCATTTGTCTCATTCCTCTCCTTGTGCAATGATACTAAATTGTGGGCAGCTTTTCATAATGTCCCAAGGTTGCATTAGTTTACAAGTTCTCAACACAAATTCAGTATATAATTCAAAGACAAACATAAAAGCATACATATAATCAAGTTTATCATGAGAGATCAAAACAGGTGGTGGATGTTAAGTTGCATTCATTAGAGAAATGACAACATCGATCTGCTGGATGAATTAATTACTTATAGTAGTACTTAATTGAGAAGACATCAACTAATTAGAAACCCTCAGATATGTTAATTAACAAAGGTGTCGCCATGGGAACCTAAGTTTTTCCTAGCTTGGTTTTGATTATAGATTAGTTAGAAGTCTAAACTGGCTCTAATGCGAACCACACAAACCATCATGTGTTTTTTCATGAAATCAGTACTGAAATATAAACTACATATACGAAATAAAGGCATTGATTTCGTATATATATATATATATATTCACTAGATCACATTTTATATATTTATTAGGGATCGACAGTTATAGACGGTTAAAAACGGTTATAACTGTTAATGGATAAGATTAAAGAACAGTTACAATTGATATCCGGACTCTGAGTCTAAGTGTACCACCCCGTCCTGTGTGGTCGGAGGACGGTGTGTAACAATGGAAAACGAAATAGAAAAGCTAGATAACATACATGGGAATAATAGAGCTATTATAAAATCCATCAAAATAAGAAGACGGGAGGCCCAATTTAAGACGACATAAGTATAATTACAATATTTATAGAACAAAAACTGTACTATCTAAGAGTCGTCTTCAAAATAGTAAAATTTCATAGTTATCAGTCCCGAGATAGTCCCACCTACAATCTTGTACTTGTTGAGGACAAGCAAACTTCGGCTAGCAAATTGCTTAGTAAGCAGATGATTAATATATCAAAGCTAGGAAGTATATAACTAAGTTAATAAAAAAATAATTAAAGTATCAATAATACACCAAAAACCAGAACATAAAGGGTTCAATCGGCAATTTACATGAAATACCCCAACTAAATGTAGGCATGGGAATGAGACCGCCCATTGGAGAATATGGTGTACCCACCCCAACGGGGACGGGATTCCCCGCAAAACCCGGGGATCGGGGATGGGGACGAGGATCCCCGAAATTTAAAAATCGAGGATGGGTCCCCGGCCCACCTCGTCCCCGGATATTAAATATATTATATCTATTTATTATTATATATATATATATATATGTATATATATATATATGTATATATATATATTATATACATTTATTATTAAATATATTATTTATAAATAATTAGATTTAATATTTTTTAAATTTGAAAATATTATTTTGACATTTATTATATATATATATATATATTTTTGAGTTGTCTTACTTTTTTAGATAAAAGAACGATGAAAGTCAAAAGCGTTTGATCAAACAATTACATATGTGATATGATTTTGTTCATATATAAATATTTGATACTTTATAAAAGTAAAATTTGAAAATATGTGAGTTTTAAACATAAAACATTATCGATTGAGTGTGGAATTTAACATATTTGATTTAAAATATGTTATATTAATGGGGGACGAACCCACGATTCCCAAATGAGGATCCCCGTTCCCTATTAGGTACAGGGATGGGGATGTATCATATCACTCCATGCATGCTTAATTCTTTAACCATGTTATTTCTCATACCTAGGTGCCTTGATTTGCCACTAGAAACTTGGCTATATGCCTTAGCCAAGGTGGCGACACTATTACAATGTATACATATCGGTGATATCTGCTTAGCTCACATTGTAATCTCATATATTAAGTTCCTTAACCATTTTGCCTTTTTATCGACAACAACCAAGGCAACAACCTCAGTTTCCACTGTCGGGTTTAATGCAAGTTTTCTTCTTGGAATCCCATGATATGGCACCTCCCCCAAGAAAGAATATCCAACCACTTGTAGAAGAATGATCTTCTATGTTGGTTATCCAACTTGTATCCGAGTTACCTTCTAACCCCGAGGGAAACCCGACATAAGTGAAGCCATAGTTCATAGTTCCCTTTAAATAATTGAATACTCTTTTAGTTGCATGCCAATGGTGATTACTAAGAAAGCTAGTAAAACGACTCAATTTACTTACAACATGGGCAATATCAGGTCAAGTGCTTGTCATTTTATACATCAATCACACAATTACTTTTGAGTATTCAAGTTGTGATATAGCTTCCCCCATATTAAGTATAAGTTTCACACTCGGATCCATGGGAGTGCTTACGGTAGAACAATCTAAGAAATTAAACTTCTTTAACACTTCCTCTACGTAATGAGATTGTGTTATTGAAAATCCCTTGTTCTCTTTGTTGATCCTAATATCTAGGATCACGTCCACCTCCTCCATTTCCTTCATGGAAAATATTGATGACAATAAATCCTTTGTCATATCGACTTGACTTTGGTCGGTGCCAAAGATCGACATCGTCCACATAGAAACTAATGATAACTCCCTTATAACTCCCTTATCAGAGTCATCAAACTTACTATAAGTACACTTATCAACTTGGTTTAATCTAAAACCATTTGACAATACAACCTCATCGAATTTTCGATGCCATTGTTTCATTGCTTGGCTGAGACCATACAACGATTTAATTAATTTACACACCTTGTTTCCGTCTTGTAAGTCACCATTTAAGAATGCAGTTTTTACGTCCATTTCCTGAATATCAAATTATTAATTTCTATAAAACAATTAACAACCTATGGTAGAGATTTTAGCAACCGGAGCATATGTATTAAAATAATCTATACCCTCCTTTTACGCAAACCCTTGGATCACCAATCGAGCCTTGAATTTGTCGATGGTTCCATCAACCTTCATATTTTTCTTAAAGATCCATTTGCAACCCAACGGTTTGCATTTCGGTGGCAAATTACTCAAGACCCACATATCGTTGCCCGTAATGGAGTCTATTTCTTCGTTAATTGCCTCTTTCCAAAAGGCAACGTCTTGAGAGCTCCTAGCCTCTTTATAGGTCCTATGATCATGTTCAATGTTGTAG